CCCTTCAGTGCCTGCTCTGCTCGTCCAGATTTTAATTTAGGTAAAGCAAGCTGGGAAACGACGAATATAAAAGGTGGATCGTCGCTAATGAAAAAGCAATAATAAGCCTGAGCAATAAAGCGCAAAAATAAAACTCGACTTAAAATCAGTAGCGACGCGTCCAAAGAAAAATATTAAAAAATTTGGAATTTTATTAGAGAAAATTGTTTGCTATCAACTGAAGTGCGATCAGGTAACTTATTTTAAAAGCATCAGTTTCTGTATTTGGCAATATCATTTTACTACTATCTTCATACATTTCTTAGTAATTGTTTTATTTGTCTATTAGAGAAATAGTTAGTTCAAAAGTGAGTAGCATTCTAAAAAGGAAACTTCATTATTTCCCAGGAAAGTGCAATTTTTATTTTTGCCCCACCACTGTTTGCCCGCTGGTTCAACAGTAGCTTGCATTACCTTGTGAAAACAAGTATACGAAAAGAGCGCCTTGGGACATAGAAAAACCATCTCGTGCGTTGTTATGCCAGTTATTTTTCTCTTTGTGTACTCTGCGGAGCCAGCCAGGTTGAAAAAGCATAAAAAGTAAAACATCGAAAATGGAAAAGCGTTTTATAAGATTTTTCCGCAACGAGATTGCATTAAACAGGGGCGTGTGCTAGGGAATTTTAGAGATTCTGTCTTTTTGTCATTGTCTATTAAGTAAACGTGCCGGTTCATACACAATAGACTTTAGAGAATAATATTCTTCAATGGATCCGGGATTGTGTGTGACATATTTTTCTTCTTTATTTCACTAGAAATAACATGTCTATGGAACTCCCGCATCGAGTAGAAGCTTATATACTTAAGGCTAAATTGAATTTATTTGCTTGTATACAAATACGAGTATTCACTGCAATTTAGTGAATAAATATCCACTCTCTATAGGCAATTCTAAAAGGCAAAAATTTTAAAAAATGACAAGGAAATTGTGGAAATGAACGAGTTTGCATTAATTACAACAACTTCCATACCCTTTTTTTTATCTAATGTGAGTCACAATTGGGATTATTTCGTTCAAGACTTTTATAGGAGTTTATTTGAGGGTTTAGAAGTGATACAAACCACATTTTTTCGTTAGAAGAAGTGCTCAACCTACGAATACCTGTAAGAACAACTTTTGACGCTTTACTGCTCAGAATTCAAGCTTTCAACAAATCTATAGCTGTTTATTCTATAGCGTTTGATAACTTTTTGGATATATTCAACCTTCCCTCAGAGAACAATCATGACATGGACGAAAAAAGAGGCTCAGAATAGCAAATAATCACGTACGATTATAATTGGCGCACGCAAAACCAAAATCTTTGAAAAACGTCTTTTCAGCACTTTCCACGACATAGAAAAACAGCATTAGCAGGCCCACCTTTGCTACTTTTGGGTCACCATGAAGCACTAGAATTTTCAAAAAACGACTTCGTTATATTCTGATTTCCAGCTCCTATTTACTCGGAAAAGACACTTTAAAACTGCAAATCTGTTTATATATATAAATATATTGTAAATACAAATATATTGTAAAAAGTGCAGTATTTAAAAAAAGCACCTTTTAAACTGGATGTTTTCGGAGATTGAGAAGAAGAGCACCAGACAATCCAGTTGCCCAAGAAAATAGCGAAATTCCTGGACAGAAATCACAACTAAAATTACTATAGAAGCGTAAGAATTAGCAGTTAGTGCAAAATAGGTATTTGTAAAATTCCTATTAACTAAAGTGTTTATTCCTCTGGTTTATGCATAACTTTTTTCTCTTATATAAGTCTGTGTTGAGCAATCCAAATGAGTATATTAAAAATAACGTTCAAGAGAATAATATTTTAGATTTGTTTTAAAATCATTATAACAGATAATTAATAATCATCATATTATAAATTTCAGGCAAGTGAAGGAATTTAATTGAAATAACATTCTGAAACATTTTTATTTTAGTAAACAAACCGATGTCACAAAAATTACAGTTACAATCATCATCTTTGATTCACTTTTGAAAATAGTTTGCCTAATTTTTAGCATTTTTGCACATAATGTTAAATCCATTATTAAATTATCCTCTAATACAAATACGAAAGATTACATATTGGATAATTTACAGAAATCTTAGTTTTAAAAGATGAAATACAAAAAATTGTACTATTTATAGAACCGTAAAAACTGTAAAAATCCATTCAAATTTGAATCATCCTGTATGTATTATAGTAGTAGAAAACAAGTCATTTACATATTTAAAATGACGGTAAATTCGTCTTTTTTACGAGCAGTTTATGTTAGGTTCATTCGTAATATTCTGCGGGATGTAATTTTTTTAGCGGGTAACTAAAGTGGTTAAGTAATTTCCAAATTAACTAGTGTAATCAAAAAACGAGCCAAAGGGGTAAAACACGTTATATTTATCAAAATGCGGAAGACAAACATTGAAAAGCTACCCTTTCAGACTTTAGGGCACGTTTTGATTCCCATCACCAGCGCTCTGGAGAATATAATTAATGTTCAATCATCCTGCTTTTTTCTCTTAAATAATATTATCTTTTATCGAGGTTTGTCTAATTTTTTGTTTTATGAAAATACTTATAATGTTTTTTTTTTATATTGTACAACGCTTGATGGGCAACTCTTTATTTGTCGTCGTGTTTTAACAAAAAATCGCCAATTTTATTTAATTCTGTAGATGTAAATATGTCGTGTATCATGTATGAACGTCCATTTAAAATCGCGTTTTCTTTAGACTTCCACAGTTTGTTTAATTCTCATAATATATATATACAGGGTTATTCATGCTATACGGCACGGAAGTTTGCGGCTAAACCGTTTGATTTTTAAAAAGTATTATTTTATGAATCCACAGACGCCTACCGAGCGCACATTTTAAAA